GAGGCACATTTTTGGCCATGTCTGGCTACGTGAAGTCATCCAGTGAACACATTGGAGGCAGGGTGTGGAAAAACCGTACCGTGCCKGTGCCACAAGATCTGTCAGTAATGGTCCCAACAGGCCAGGGGGGAATTTGTGGACCCAGGTGGGAGGGGGTCTCCTTCCTCCTGTGGCTCTGCTGTGCCCTGGSCATGGGCTGGTGGCAGCCCAGTGCCCCAAAGTGCTGGCCAGAGAAGCAGCATTGATTYTGTGTCTGACAGCAAAGTCCTGCCTGAGGATCAACCTTTAAACTCTGCAGAGTTGGACCAGTGAAACTCCACAGGACGTGGCAGAAAATGCTGAGCTCTTGGAAAGGCGAATCTGGCTGTGCGTGACCTCCAGAGCCAGCCCAGCAGCTGAATTAATTCCTTCAGTAGCTGGGCTGCTCYCGATCCCTGCTTTGCCAGCTGCAGGCACAGGGTTAACCTGCAGAGCCCCACAGCAGCAGAGCAGAGCTTTTTGCCTTTTCGGGGCCACCAGTGAGTTAAGGTGGGTTTCTTTTACATGGAAGCTGTTACAGTGTGTTTTATGGTACTTCCACATCCTCTGCCCAAAGGGGCTTAGTGCAAATCACCCCTCAGATGAGGGTCCCTTGTCAGACATTTGTCACTCTCTGTAGTTTCTCAGATGTCCATTAAAAAACCAAAAATCCTGAGCCATCTTAGTTTTGAAAAAAAGCCCCATAAAATTAATCCCTTTTCCTTTGTTCCCTCCACAGGAGGAGGCATTTTTTTACAGCACTCGAAAAGAAAGATTTTTGAATAATGAAACCTAAAAGCTTCCCCAAACGAGTCCCTCACCACTGCGTTTTTCACTGGCCAGCACTTTGAATTTGGATTTGCAGAGTTCTTCTGCCTTGCAATTTCCTCTGAGTGATCCCACCAGCACCAGCCGTGCCTGGGGAACGTCGCTGGGCTCTGGCTCTCCATCAGCTGGAAATGCTGGAGAGAAGGGGAGGCTGCGGAAGGGAGAGGAGCATTTTTGAAAAGCTGGTCACTTCCTCTGGACTGGTTTTTCCTTTTCCTGAAATAACAACATTTATTAACCAAAGAGTTTTTGATAAAAAAGTGAACAAATCATGCAGAAAGGATAATTATGAGTCGGTATATGAAGGCAACTCCTGTGGAAAGCAGCTGCAGGAACCCRCCCGCCCTGCTGAGCCACTGAGTGGTTTTCTTCCAGGGTTCCTCCAGGCCGGTGTGGGTGTGAGCTCKGCCCCATCTCCTTTGGGTGTCAAACACATCCTCCAAGCGCTTTTGGCCGAGATGAAGGGCTTCACCCTGCTGCGGGCAGCTGYGCTTCGCTGCGTGAATTCCAATCAGGAGCCGGAGGAGGAGGAGGACGAAGCTGGCTGGGGTTTGAGTCAAAAAACAAGCCCTGTATTTTCCTCCTCGCAGCTATTTATCAAGGCTGGGTGCAAAGGGCCTGACACACGGCCAGCAGAGCCCGGCTGCGGTGATGTGTGTGACACACGAGCYGTAATGAGGGACCTTCTGCTGAACGGCCAATTGAGCAGCCGGCACCCCAACAGCTTCATCTCGCACGGACGGCGGGTGGATCTCTATTTTGACACATCCTCGCTGAATGAGGAGAAGAACAAGCAGAAAATGGCTGATGATAAATGCAGCAATTAGGGAAGCTTAATGGAGCAGAAGGTTTTTTGTGAGAAGACAAAGAAATTGCCGTGCCGACACCTGCGAGGAGGTCCCAGCCGCTGYGCCGGGAGCCTCCAGCTGTGCTGCAGCAGCAGGAGCTGCCATGAGGGGAACCGACCTTTTTACTTCACACACACATCCCTCAAAGGCTTTGGAAAAATATTTTCCAAGTTAAACTTCAAAACATCATTTGATTTTTCTTTTTCCCTATTATGTTCAGAAACGGGAGCCTGTAATTTAGGCCTGTTGTAGCCTTCCCCCCACTCATYGCTTTTTATTTGGTTTCACATAATACAGCGCACTGCTGGGAAAGGCATTTTCCTGACAAAGTATTGATCTCGGTGCTATGAAAGAGCCGTGGCCTCAGCAGGGGGATGCCATCTTGCTGGACACAGGTGGACACGAAGAGGTTTTCCAGACAATGCTGCTCGCCCGCAGTGATGACCAGTTTAGGGCTGAGCCCACGACCTGCTCTGCTCTTCCCAAAGCACTACATCTGAACCAATTCCTGGGTTAACAACTCCCCAGGATTCGGGCAGAAGGGCTAAATTTGTTCGCCCAAGCCCCATTTCTCTTCACCTCCTCATCTGGATTCTCCCCAAAGCAAATTGCATGTGCAAAGGGGCACCAAGAAGCACTGGGGAGAGCACGGTCCCCTGGTGTGGGGACATCCAGGTTTTGGTGATGGGCAATGCCATTGTGGCCTCTCACAAGACCATTACCAAAATCCCCCAACACTGCAACACAACTGTTTTCTGCAGACAGGCAAAAAGGAATTTCCTGAGGGAGGTAAGGAAAAGGTTTCCTTTTTTCTTGCTTGGCACAAGCCAAGGAAAACACAAACCTTGTTTTCCCCACTGCTGACGGTTTCTCGGCTCTAGCCTGAGCTGCACACCACTGATCTACCTCTGCTCTCCTTCAGGCACTTGCAGGGCTGCCCGAAGCACAGCTGCTGTGTCTCGCTSTTCCCTAAGCTCTCAGGATATTGCATTCCTGACTAGTTGGCTTCTTTTGCTTTGCCTCCTTTGGGCCAGGGCGATGCTGGCGCTGCAGGGCCGGCCTGAATCCTCTGTGTTTAACTCCAGGTCGCCAACAGCTAACTCTAAATATTCATGCTATCTATAYAGGCTGAAATGGACTATTCCTATGTGCTTATTTTAGCCAATAAAGCTGGCTTTTTAGGGAAACACTAGATCTTTTTGTCAAGGAACAGTTAATATTTTTGACAAGTGATCTGAGGCTTCATTACAGCTTTACAGATTGGCTTTTTCCCTCACTCCCTGATACCCTGGTTGTCTATTTTATTGACTGGGCCAGGAGTGGCCCCCGTTGACTGAAGCTGGTGCACACATCCTCCATGGAGCCCCAGTGGGAGTGTGGCATTTTGGACAAAAGGTAATGCAAGTGCAAGCACTTGTCTCCCTCCTTACGGCTTCCCGAGTATCTTTTTAAACACAGGTTGCCTGAGGCAAGCAATGAACCTTCCAAATCCCATCCTCTTCCTCCCACCCACTGTCATTTGTTTGCTAAATTCCACCCTTTTTCAATGACTGAGGGAAGTCTCTAGGGAGACAGCCAAAAGTAGAATAAAAATGGTGAAAACGGCACAAAATGAAAGCTTGAACAGTGGTAGAAATGCATAAAACCCAGGAAGTCCTTCTGTACCGTTYTTTCAGCAGAAGGCAGCTCAGCTGGGGTGGCTTAAAGGAATAAGGCTGAATTAATTAGTTTCTCTGTTTAGGTAATAATACCATTAATCACGATGAACCATTTTGTGAGAAGGCTGATACTCGACACTGCGTAATTCCACAGGAATCCCRCTGGAGTGCAGCATTATTGATGGGTCATCCTCGGAAGGCGTGAGAGCAGTGCCTCCTAACACAGCAAATGGCAAACCACTGATTTTCTTTTAATATTCAGACCACCACAACACCAGTCATGATGAATTCTTCTGGCACCGGGGTGGCTGCATAAGCAATCCTTCAGGAATGCCAGGGGAGCATGGCATTGATTTAACGCTCGCTTTTTAAGCACAGACCAAATGCTTCTGGACCATTTTTTATATTTTTTACTGAAGTTTGCAGTAACAACCTCCTTGCTCACACATACCTGCATCAGGAACATGCAGCTACAGACTCCAACACAGGTTAGGGGGGCTCATTTATGCAGGTCCATGTTAGAGGTGGTGTCAGGCAAGCTCCCATGTTGGACACCAGCACCAGGAGAATTACAACCCCCCTGAGCCAGCACCATGAATCTTTATGCCGAGTCCAACACGCTTTCCACATCCACCATGTGTTCTACGTTCCTCCAATTTCAGCTGGGAGAGCAGGTGCCGATTTTTAATGCCTATTTTGTTTTAAGCCTCCTTTCATCAGATTAAGGACCCTGCTATTTTATTTCATTTCATTTTTTCACGCTCGGTAATTCAGTCACACGCGAGCCTAACCCCAGAAGCCGTGACACGCCGTTAAAGCGCCGCCGCTCGCTCCAGCAGCCGCCGGGCGCGGGGATTTGGGGCACGGCTCCGTGGGGAAGGCTGGGGAACACATGGAAGTGAGAGCAGCGCTTGAGGTGACATTTTCCTGAGGTGACACCGGCAGCAGGATCCCTCCAACGAGCTGCTGCACACGGGCTGTGTTTCCTTCTCTGTCTGTGCTTCCTTCCCCGGCTGGAGATGGTGGATCAGCCCCCGGGCTGCGAGCTGGAGATGCTGCAGGGCTGGGGGCACCGCTCCGCTCTACTCCCCAAAAACCCCCAAATCCCCTCCAAAGGGGGTCATGGCCGTGTTCCTTCTGCTGGGAAGGATTTACCGGCAGGAGCGAATCCCTGTCCCCGCAGCAGCCCCTTCCGCCAGCTGCCTCCTCCCAGCCGTCAATAAACCATTAGCCTCGAGTCAACAGCGCTGGCTACGACACACAAACACTCAACTGCCTTTTTCATCCAAAATCAATGTTGTATTTATCTTCATTGATCTACAAGGAAACTGAATGTTTAAAATTACAGGGGGTGCAGGGGGGAGGACGGGGAGGGGGGGAAACAAGAGTTACAGAGCCAAGAAAATAGTAGCGGATGGCTGAATTAACTAGAGAGAAAAAGCCCAGGATATATAAAACATGGACACTGAAAAATAAAATAAGGGAAGGGGGGATGGTACAGCAAGTAAAACATGGCAAAATTTACATATGGATGAAAAGTAAAATTGGAAATAAAAAATAAATCATGCCAAAAAGCAGTTCAAGGCAGAACCACACTGAAACAAACATTTGCTTATGGTCTTCATGTACTATAGATAATATATCAGAATTTCTTTTTTTTTTTTTTAATCAACCATTAGACTTTTTTTTTTGCACTCCTAAAATTCTACTTTGTCTTGTATACAGATTCCAATAAGAACACTGCACAATTAGCACAAGGGGTCCACGGAAAATTGTCCTTGCTTGCCAGCGATCCTGCCCACAACACAAAAAAAGAGAAAAAAAAAGGAAAAAAAAAATAAGGAAAGGGTCTGCCGCATGGTACTGTGCCAGTTCCATCTGCTTTTGCCAGCTTGAAAAGTAGGAAACCAAAATTCCCTTCCAGGAGCGTGTGTCTTTCTCTTTCCTTGACGAACTGTCCCTTGTGTTTGTACAAAAAAATTCAGTCTTTCTTTTTTTTTTTTTTTTTTTTTTTTTTTTTTTTTTTTTTTTTTTTTTTTTTTTTTTTTTTTTTTTTTTTTTTTTTTTTTTTTTTTTTTTTTTTTTTTTATTTTTTTTTTAAACCTTCCTCCCCCCAACATCCACTAAGACCTGCCTCCAAGTTCTTGCATAGTTGAAGTATATATGCCATACTGAGCTTTCTGAGTGTGAATTTCTGACTGTGACAAGAGTATGAGTTGTAACCATGTTAACAAATAACCAGAGTGGTTCTAGAAACCATTTTTATAAAGTCTACCTATGTTAAGAATTTAATATTGGTGTACATTTATATTAACAGAATATTTACAGTTTGTTTTTTTTTTCGTTTAAAACAAGAAGTCAAAAAAAATTCCTCTTAAATTTCTGCATAATATAATAAGGCAAAAAACAAACAGTTTTGTACATTATTATTATTATTAATATTTTAATATATATCTGTAACTTCGGTTCCAAAGTACCAAGGTAAGTGATCAATTGGCCTCAGAAGGGAACCTCACAGTGGACTGTAAAACTACAGTATTTCCATAAATAATACTTTTAAGAAACCCTGGGTATTTTTTTCTTAAGGATCTGAGGCCTTTAGAATGCAAATTTAACTAAAAACAAAAGCAAAATTTCTTCTTTTTTTAAGTGAATAAAGAGCACAAAATTAAAAAAAATACAAATCCATTAAAAATGTTTCTCACATTTGGGAAAAAATGTACAAACTTGATATTCTTAACTCATTCTTTTTTAGCACAGAAACAAAAAACAAAACCAAAAATCAATACCTATATATTAAATTCCCATTCTCAGCAACCTTCTTGTTGGAAAGTCCCCAACCCCATTATTTATGGAAATGTGCTTAACTTCTACAAATTTTACATTAAAAAAAAAGTTTACAGCAGTGCATTTTGTAAAAGGTTTGTTTGTTTTTTTTTGTTGTTTTTTTTTCCTGTTTGTGGTTTTTTTTGTTTGTTTGTTTGTTTGTTTCCTTGCTTGTTTTTATGTACAGGTGAGTTTAAAATTCAATGTTGGGGACTATCGTGCCTCTACTTCTTTGGGGTTCCTAGAGGGGGAGTAGTCCCTGGACTCTGAGTTTGTGAGTGGAGTAGTCCTGCGAGGGGAGGCAGGTCTGGTGCTGCTGGCTGGTACGAGAGGCGGCGGCGCGCTCAGTGCTGCGGTCGGCGGGTTCCTGTTCAGGATCCCGTTGTGCATGGCAGTGGATGGGCTCAGTCTGGGGTAATGCATCCCGCTCAAGTGAGGCATGAAGGATGGCACGTGTGCCAGGTGGCTTTCGATGGGGGACGAGTGCAAGTGGTGCATTCTGGCACGCTCAAGTTCTTCCCGTAAGTGCAAGCGCTCGCGCTCCTCCACTTGCCGCAACCGCTCCTGCTCTCGGCGGGCTTCCAGAATGTTCTCGTGGTTGTAGTCGTGTGGCTCCCGGTCTCTGTAGGAACGGTCATGGTCGTAGAAGCCAGAGGTGGTAGGAAACCTGTGGATAGGATCCGCCCGGAGCTGGAAGTCCATCCGGCGGTGCAGGTCTAAGTTCCGGTAGGCTTCTCGCAACGGGTCCCTCATCGGGTCCCAGGAAAATCCGGGATGCGGCAGCCTCTCTCTTCCTGGCAAAGGGTTCATGCCTATGAGCGGGGTCATCATCCTGCTGCGGTCCAGCACGTTCATGTTGTTCATCTGGTGCACGCTGCCCATGGAGATGGGCATGGAGGCAGCCATCGAGTGGGGCAACGATAATCCATGGAGAGTGGGCGGCGGGGGATGCTCCACTGACCGCGAGTGCTGCGAAGGCTCGGACCCAACCACCAGCACGTCACTGTCTTCCTTCCTCTCCTCCTTGACTTTGATGTCATTCTTAATCTTCTGGAGGTCGCTGGGAAGTTCTGTCTTTCTCTCCATGTCCTTGCTCATCAGATTGGTGAGCTTGAGGCTCTCACTTAGTGCAGGTTTGCTGTACGGGGATACAGACTGGATTACTGGCTTTGTGTTGTCCTCAGAGGGTCTCTTATCATGGCTTGGAGTTTCCTTCACYGGGGATCGGCTCTCTTTGATCTTGTGCTCAGCTATGGGCGGCTCTCTCAGCCGGTCAGGGTGCTCTCTYTCGGGCTCCTTGGACCTCTCCCTGTCCCCGAGGCTGACCTGCCTGATGGCATCGCTGGAGCTCTGGCTGTTGCTGCGGATGAGATTGCTGATCTGGTGCGTCACTGGGGCCGATGCCGGCGAGGATCTGTTTGAATGCCTGTTTTTATCCATGAGGTCTCTGTGAAAAGGCAGAAGGGATGTACTTGGTTATGTGTGAACAAACATATACACGTGATGCTGGGTACTCTAAGACTGCTCAGGGAAAGACTTGGAAAGCTCAGCAAACACCAGCTACAGCTGCGACACTGTGCTAAGGGACATCACTAGCTGCCTCTACATACTTCAAAGACAAAAAGAGTTAMATGTTCCCAAATGTGGGACTAAACTGGGGATGTGGTTGGAAGAATACTATATTCATCCTAAGAGAAAGACTTGTTTCACTGAGAAATGTGAGAATTTTATTTTTCTTAAATAAAAAGCTAATTGTGTGTTCATGTGTACACCTTGCTGCCAGACAATGGCCTTCTGAGCTGTAAAACTCAGGTTCCTTTCCCAAAACACAGATGCAGGCACACAAAACAGAAGCCTASAGCAATGTGTGCAGGTCCTTCCCAAGCCAGCCTCCTTGACTGCACGCAGCCATAAGGTGAGGCTGATTTTCCTGCAGTTTTTGTTGTTGGCAGTTCTTGCAGGTAAGCCAGGTGCTTCAGGAGAAACATCCTTGAATCGGCCACGGAAATGAGTAACTGAGCTGTGTTTCAAGAGGACCTGCTGTGATAAACAAGGGGTTTGATGACAACATCCATGGTTTAGAAAGAGAGGCACGAGGGTTTACATTTCCAACTGCACCTCTGCTTCTGAGCAAGCCAATTAGTCACAGTTAATCCCACCTTTTTAACAGGGGAATAAATAATGCTCACCTTCTAAAAGCACTTTGCTCTGAATGAGAGACACTTTAAACGCAAAATATGATGGTGTGATTGAGAGAACTGCATTATGCAGCTGAGAGGCTCACTGATGCTTAAGTTTTACGCTGTGTTTGCTTTTGAGAGCTGTGAGACCCGAGCACTGAAAGCTGGAGGTGTTTTGGGGAGTTGTGTAAGTATTTATCCCCTATGATTACATTTGCTAACCCAGCTTTCTTCCGCTGTGGTAGTCCTGATTGCTGGTCAAGGATGTGGTTTATTAAAACTATGTCCAAAGAGGGATGCTGGGGACAGCTTAGGCTGAATTAATAGAAACTAATAGAGCTGTTAACCCCTATGTGAACACTCTGGAGAGTAAAGTAACCTTGGTTTGCAAGTGAATTAATTCCACTAGAGTCAAGAAGGGAGCTTCCTACCTGATATCTGTGCAAGGGTGTCAAACAATTTAACATTTAAAGCAAGGTGGTTTTCAGCCTGATGCTTCCATATAATYTTGTTCACAGGTACTGCCTGAAGATCTTATTAAAAGCACTCCAGGCAGACKATGAATCCCTATCAGTAGTCAAGCACACACATCTAATGCTTGCAGGCTGTTATTGCCCCCAGAGAAGTGGCCTGTTGGACACAACTGGGCTCTGAAATAYAAAGGGCTTCACAGCTTCAAAACTSTGAAACTGGGGGCTAATGAAGTAACCATAGCCCAGGTGATACAGGCCTGTCATCATTAATRAGGGTTTGCCCACAATACCATTTTTTAAAATCAGTTTTGCTAATAGATTCATCCCCACTGCTCCAGATACAGGCATTTGCATTTTTGTCTCGTTAATGTCCAGCTAACATTTGAATTCATCAGCATATCTGTACATTAATGAGAACTACGACTGTCTCCAAAGGACCAACACAATGCTGCCTTCATGATTTCAGAATACAGAGCAATCCTAAAGCAGCTGCACTGAAAAGAGCCATGTATACACTGACAACAGTAACACACCCAATTCCTCAGCCTGGTGCTTTTTGTTAATTTGCAAATGGGGTACCCTATTTCCACAGAAGACAAATCGTAAAAGGCAAAAAGGAATTATTTTGGTGTTGCTAGTACTTGTGCTTATCTGAGGAGAAAGCCTATCAGCTGTTTCAAGGACAAACAACACTTCAGGAAAATCAGAAAAAATACACAGAGGAAAAGTAATACTAGCAGGAAGCACTCAGAAGCCCCCGGTGCTCACCTCTCTTTGTCTCTGTCATCTTTGCTCAGAGAAAGATCCCTCTTCTCGGGCTCCCGCTCCCGCTCTCTGTCCCTGTCATGGTTTGTCACCGAGGAGCTTCGCTCCGAATCCGTGGGCTTGGGCCACTGGGGAGGTGTTGGGAAGGACGGCGGGGTCCGGTGGAGTCTATTCCATGGCTCATGGGGGTTATTGAAATTCTGCAGGTTTGGGCCGTCTTTGTGAGTAAAAATGTTGTTGTGAGCTAGAATAATGGCAGGGGGAGGAAGAGTTAAAAATAATTCAAACCAAATCATTACATAGATATTTTTCACGATATTAATCACAACCAGAACTGTTCCTTCAAGACTTTTCAATGGTGAGGGGGAGCTATAAGTGAGTGGGMACAGATAATTCCAACACTGGGTGTTAAGAGCCACCAGCTCTTTTAAGGCTGTTGYTGGAGGAAGCTTTCTACATTTCAATAACTCAGAGACTACTGAAAATGCCCAGCTTCTCTTCTCCCCCCACCCCAGGCAAGGGCTCCAGCACAAAAGCAGTATTTTTCCTCAGCTCCTCTCTCTCTGGCAGAAACTTTAATTTGTGGCTAGTTACAAGCAATCAGCTGCCAGCAGCTGATGCTTCAGGGACTTTGTGTTGAAGAAACCAGTCTATTTGGTGGTATGTATGTGTGTGTATAAACACAGAGCTTGGCTGTAGGCTTTTCAGAACAGTCACTTGATTTTCCTCCATCCATCTTCAGCTGACTCCTGTTGCACCATGAGATGCACAAGCTTTCTTATGTGTGGCTCTCAAGCATGTTTTGCCTMCAGGTAACATATTTTTGAAGCAAAATAATTTAATGCAGGTAATTTGAACTTCAGAGGTTACAGAGGACATCTACACGAATTAGAAGAAGTATCAATAGCTGCCCCACTGTGCATCTTCGCTGGGGAGGGGTGTTACTTTAGGTCCTCGCAGGGTCCCAGAGAGTTTTTGCAGCTCCAGGGCCCCCGTGAGCACACAAGGTACCACCCCTCAGCAGTGAGGAGGCCCAGAGCACAGCTACTGATCTCGGGGACACGCAGAAAAGCTCCCACCGCAGAGACCTGGAAATCTTAGGTGCAGTGTTTTCAGATAGGAGAATGGAGGTTAGGAATTAAACTTCTTTAAAAACTACCACCAGCTGCTGTAAATATTAGCATGTGGCTTTTCTGGAAGGGATGTTTGTCTGCAGTAACCCAGCCAGTACTTACTCAGAGCATGACTGCCTAATCCTCCAAAGGCATTGCTGCCTAAGTTCCCAAGGCCGCTGAAGGTGCTTGACCTGCTAAATGGATCTGGAAAGGCAAACAGGGATTTAGCAGGCATTTAGCCAAGAATGTTGGAGAATGAAACGCACCCCTCCCCTTCTTAACGGTTTGAATCCAAGTAGGATTAKGCCAGACTTTAAGCTGATCCTTCTCATTGCAAGGTTCTTTGCACAGAAAATTCCCATCATGTTAAAATGGAGAAGGGATTCAGTGCTCACTCTGCAAACAGGTGCTGTAATAAACTTTTGTATTCGAGACAGAAGCGAGCTGGAAATTAAGGTCTAATAGCTGAAATTAGGGTGGCTGCTGAGCTATAACTCTTTTTCCTTATCAGTACTAATAGTAGAAACACTGCAATTGCCTTGAAAGCAGRATCTCAGCAGGCCCCATGGCCAGCACTGAGGAGATGCATTGTCTTGTTTCTGCCTTTTTTCCCAGTAAAGGCACCCATCATAAGAGGTTCCTCTCTGAGAACACATAGCCCGACTCAGGTTTCAACACTCCAGAGACAGGTATGAGTTAAATCCTACCAGTGTATTTATCTTCCTTCCTGCTTGTCATCTCTCAACAACTCCTCTTGCCCACTGGCTTTCTGACTGTCCCTTCCAAGCCCTTAACCTGCCATGTTACAGGAGGTAATGCTGCTCTCCACTTCCTCAAAGATATCACATTAAAATATCAAGGCACATGGCACAAATAGCTAAAATCCTTAAGCAAACAGCTATTTGCTTATTTACTTATTTTAAAACAGATGCTCTTGCCCTTCCTCTTTGATAYTAAGTAGCTGAGTGACTTGGTAGAGATAGTTAATTTTGACCGAATGTTTAGGAATTGATGTAAATCTGGATATTTCCAAGAGAAAACAGTCTACTGGGTCATGTGGCACACCACATTACTGATTGGATGAATGTTACTAAAACATTAATCAACAAAGCTTGAACTTGAATTGGCAGTGAGCTGCTTGTGAGCTTCTCAAATGAGGAAATTTGAGAAAATCAGGCTCTACTTACTGCCAATTAGAAAACTGAAAGGCTGGCAAAATGTGCAGGACATCTATTTGCCAGGAACTGCTCCCTGAACTCTTTTAACGAGCCTAGACAAGAACTTTCATAGGTGGGAAGTGGTACAGGAGGAGCCCATTTTAAGCTGAGAATTGTTTATCTTTGCATAGATTTCCCCCATTTCCTCGGACATTCAGGAGCACAGGACTCTACAGCTCACATTGTGGCTCTAGTGCAGTGTCACAGCAGTGCAGATGTGACAGTTCTGCACTGCCCTCTTTGTGAGACACTGAGGGGATGAGAAGCTGGCCAGCTTCGGGATCCTGAGGCAGTTTGAGCCTTTCCCTCCACCAGTGCTGCAGTGCAGGAGCACATCGAGAGCCAGAGTGGGGCAGGGGGGCAGGGGTGGAGGCAGGGGCACTCACACTTACCTGCCAAGTGGTTTGTAGGCAGGAAGCTGCTGTGGTGAGGCGAGGGACCAAAAGGGGTGGTGGCTGGATGTGTCGCACCTGCGAGAACAAGGGAAAGTTTGAGTTCAGGGGCAAGCAATTCCTTCACACAGAGCTCCTGGCCAGCACATCCAACMACTGGATTCAAAGGCCAGATTCARACACAGCAAAGGCACRGGAAGACCCCAAACCCYKGCTGAGYGAGTGAGAGGTGGATTTCYCTGAGCCCCACYGAGGAGTCTGTCACAGRGCACTAAGGCAGGAGGAGACCTTACACTGAGCTGCTGCTCACCTGGAGAAAGGAGGAAGCCAAGCCCTTTGTCTGCCATTTTCAGTCATTACTCCATGTTTACATTAAAAAGGGTCAGCCCAGGTTATGGGCCCAGGCAGAAGGTKCTCGGAAGTGACTGATTYGAGTCCAGATGAGACACCAGCTAACRACAGGCACRCAGGGAGCATCAATCATGCCTCTCCCATGAGAACTCCAGCCACGCTCTCACATATGGCTCTGCATCCACAGGCTCCCCCCTGGTATTTTTCCCCCTCCTAGACACTGCTCATTGCCATGGTGCCGTGCTTCCCCRTGGGAAAGAACACCACAGCCGAGCATGCTGGATTACATGAGGCTGAAGAGAGGGGGAGGACAGGGCTGAAACAAGCAGGCCTGCCCTGTATGTCAAGGGGGACCAGGCTCATGCAGAAAACTCTGCTCTCCTTTCACAGTAGAAAATTATTTTCTTTCTTTTCAGGCAGGCATATRTGAACCTGAATGGGCTGGCAACCTCAGTGTGAAATGTACTGGTGTCACCTGTCACTGAGGTACATGGTCAGCCCCTGACCTGGCCTTCCTTGCTGACAGAGCCCAGCCACTGATGGTCACTGTAAAACACACTCATGTGTCCAGAACATGAACAAACTGTGAAACCTGAGAGAGAAACAGAGCTCTGTGTCCCACACCAGCTTGGGCACCTCAAACCTAAGCAGGCAGAAAATAAGTTGAAGAAGCTTAAGAGAGACCACGACAACGAGACCTATCTAGTACCTCTCTATAAACATTCTGACTGCTCCAATGCTTCAAGACGGATGGAGACTGTCATCTTCCTAATCCTTTAAGATTTCAGAGGGTGTATAATGGATGGGAGATTTCTTCAAAGGAGACGGCTTACAAACTCAACTACAWGGGCTGATAATAAAAAATCCTCCCGAGAAAGCCAGGAGCAGCGGCGCAGGCTGTCAGGCAGTTATTAAATAGAGCGTCTGCCAGGCAGCCCAGCATCCGTCCTGGAGACAGGTGGCCCTAAGATAACTTATGTCTCCCCCAGTAACCAGGCAATGCAGCAGAACCAATGATTCACATCAACTGCACACGTGTTCAGGAAGGTGAAAAGAATGCCTGGGATATTCCAGAGTAAAAGATTTATTCCTCYATGGATTCCAGCTGCAGTGTTTGTTCACGTTGACAGCGCTCTTTACCTGGATTTACCGTGTGATGGCTCTTGTGATTAATATACTCACAAGCTGTCRTAAGGTTGGTTCTCTCTAGTGAAAGTTTTCTATTAGTTTGCCTTCTTTAATGTTTCTATTCCATACTATTTCCCCTCTTGCTTTTATGAATGTAAAACAAACCATGCTTGCCGCTTCTAAGGGAAAAAAATCCTCCAGGTGCCAGCTGGACTGGTGCTTTTCTGCCTGTTAGGGTAACTCTGTCCAGAACTGCCTTCAGTAGCAAAACCAGACATGACACAARGTTCTTGTAATGACAACACTGGACAGACTGAGGACTGTGATAAGGAAACATCTGCCATAGGAAAACAGCCAGGGGTTTGTAAATATGCTGTGCTTAYGCATCCAAGTAGATACCATAAAAATCTTGGCCTTGTACTACCCAAGTACCTTTATAGAGACCAAAATAAGGGCAGCACCCTACAATGCCATTCATTTCAAACGGGCTGAATCAAGGCTGAATATGATCAGGTCTGCACTGAGTTAGGGTGAGTGTGCAATAATGCATCATAAAACCAGAGTAACATCACAGAAGAAAATGACATTATTTGCCGATTAATGACATACATAAAGACCTATGTCACATCTCATCAACTGATGCAGATCAGTCACAACTCAGACTCTGGCACCTCAAACACAGAAAGAAAATGTGAAGAAGATGATGGGAAAGTTAAGCTTGGGAACAGAATAAAAACACCATTTGGCACTTGGTAGACAGATGTCCACAGGAATCCACAGAGAAATACAGATGTCCACAGGCTCAGAGAAATATAGCCTGTCACTTCCTAAACCAAAATGTGAGAGCTGCAATCTCCCATGGTCAGAGACATCGAGAACAGCAGTGAAAGGTACTGCCCTTTGGTAATTGCACAATTGTAATTACTTCTCCAACAGATTGGAAAACAATTGATCAATGTAAACTATATTTGATTCTTTGGGTTTTTTTTGTAAATTCAATACATCATTTTAAACCCAAGACTTTGCTGAACTTGTAAAACAGCAGAATTTTCTACTTAAAAACCAAACACTTAACAAATACACCTTCTGTGATACTTTCAATGCTGTTATTGAAGTTTTCCTTTTACAAAAAAACCCCTTGTTTTCCGAAAACAAACAAAAGCTTGGTGAGTGGAGAACCTGAGAAGAAAAACATGGCAAATATAAAAGCAAGAAAGAGACTGGGGCCACTTCCAATCTCATGCAATGGAAACATTTTCAAGTGTTTTTGTCAAAATCGCTTTTAAAAAATCACTCTATAGCCTATTAATCAGGCACATAAGAAGCAGCTGCACAGACAGGTCTGTGAGCCAACTGCTGCAGCTCAGAGATGTGTAGAGGATCCTGCACTGCAGGTGCTGGCAGAGCCCTGGTCACAGCAGTGTCTCTGCACCCCTTGAACCAACCTTGCTTCTATTTTTGAGGCACATGTAGCTGTAGAGACACACAGGACATACACTGACTATTTTTAATCAACAAGGAATGATCTTCCCTTACCTGTGGTAGAAAACAGAGGCCTGGCAAGGTCTTGTGGATAATGGAAGCCTGGAAACACTCCAGGGGCGGGAGGTCTGCTGAACAGGTCAAGTTTACCACCTATCTCTAGCTTGTGGGGATCCAGCTGCATTTGCTGTCAAATGATATAAAACAATCTCATTACACACTTCCTTTTTTCATGGGAGAAAAAGAGAGGGAGGTAAGGCTCACTCCTGCTCAGCCCTGCCAGGGAGTGTTAGAGAGAGTGACAGCAGTATCTCCGGTCACGCAGTGCACCGTGCTCTGCCAGGCTCTGCGGGGCCATCCCAGGGCTGGGGGCTGCAGGGGRCACTCAGCCCCTTGGCTGCAGCAGGAACATGATACACACAGTGCGTGCCACCCCAGGAGCACTCAGAGCTCTCAGCCTGACAAAAAATCCTCTGCAGGCACAAAGCTGCCGACAGAAGCCTTGAGAGCTGGGTGATGGGCTCGTCTGCGCTGCCTCTTCAGTTTGAGGGAGACGTGCCTATGCTGTGCCCTTCCTGCAGCCAGTTTAGCTCAGTGTGCAGGCAAGGGGCAAAGCGTGAGGGCAGCTCTGTGGCTCCTCAGAGGCTACTTTTCTCCTCGCCCTGTCGGAGTGAGCATGGCCAGAACTGCACCTTAGTCATGGAAGCCTATCAATGGCTTAAAGATTATGTATTTACTTATAAAAATATATGGACATAGACTCCTTTCAGAGGCACCTGCTTAAGCAYAGAATTAATTAATGGGACAAAAAAACTACTCCAGGAGCTATGAAAAAACAAAACCTACATGAATCTCCTTGTCAGCTATTCCGCCTGCCACAGGGAGCCTTGTGCCTGCAACGGCACCCCAGGGCACCTACATCCTGTTACCCCTGGAGTGTTAAACCCCCTCCCTCTGCCCACCATCACAGCAGCACAGGGAGCCCCACAACCTCCAGCACTGCTGTTATYAATGCACTCTCCTGCTCTCTGCTCTGTAATGTTCTTCACGGCATTGGTCATTTCATTACCTCCTCCACAGGAGGTACTAATGCAGAAGGGAAGCGACGTTAAAWGCGCATGCTTTGCAAAAAAATATGGACTTGGGGGAATTACTCTCCCCCTTGCTTTCTTCCCTTCTTTCTGGCTGTACACCCTTCCACTCAGCTCCTTTGCCCTCAGATAAACTTTACAGTTGCTACAATRAATGTTAAAGGAGTGTAAGTATTAGTTAATCAATACGGGCAAGCTTGAGAATCACTACAGTAACTGCTTCCTGCCCATTACTCACTCAAATACAATCTGTAAGCTAAAAGACTTGGCTCTGTTCCAGAAACYGTCTGAATTACCTTTATCTTTTGCTGGTGATGGTAGATCTGCCAGGCGATCTGTACATGAACCGCACACCACTTCCCTGGTTTCTGCAGTGGAAAGCACAAGAATTTAGATTAATTTATATGTTAGCAATCTACATCAGATAGAACATTTCATTTCCCTTACTGTCAACCAAGCAAGCAGCTAAGCAATGAGAAGGCTGATTACTAAAACGGCACAATGGGTGATCAACATTTGCTTCTGCACTGCTACAAATGATGTTTAAATTAAGAAGGAAACAGGAAGAATGTGGGATATCTTCCCCATCTCGTGGACATCTGAGATCCTGCCTTGTTCTTRCCCATGTGAGCTCCCCCCTTCCTAAACTGGAATGAATGGCAGCAAAGAACAGTGTGCCATGCTTAAGAGAAGGCAGCTAATGGTTCAGAGTTCTGATTCTGAAAGGAGCCCTGTTCATTCACCCCTGCTGCACTGCAGGCTAAGTCATGCGTGGTTATTATGGCTMCTGGCTTTTGGGGAGGAAAAGGGGACGGCCGAACAATCCCCAGGATGAGCAGTGGCACAGCTGAACAAGTGCTTGTTTTCAGCTGAGCTCTGGCACTCACTGTTCCACTGCTGACGTGGAACATCAGCACATTGACCTAAGCCACCACGAATGTGCTCGCTGGTGAATGTCTGCCCATGCTCGCAGTCATTTATTTCTGTGACCCTCATTTCAGACCGTGAACTATTAATGCACATAAATGGATGCAAAATAAGGCTGGGGTTCAACCTAAATGTTATTAATCAGAATTGGCAGAGAGCTGACTGACATTTTGCTTTAAGTAAAGGATGAGCATGAAATTTTCTTCTGGATGTGTTAAATTGCAAAAGCACATGCACAATATTCCAAGTGTATAAATATGTATATAAAATCCCCCACAAACCTTACTTACTCTTACTGGAGGCCTATAAGGGTCTGACACCTATGGAAAAAGCAGAAAYAAAACAATCAGTCTTTCTGAAACTAGCCAATATACAGAAAGGTGGGGAACTTCCTTCCTCTGAACAAGTAAAAGCATTTAGAAAGCAATGTTCCAGAGAAGTCCCCTGTGACATGGGAAACCTAAAAGGCTTAAAGAAGGCTTAAAACTTCTCTTTCACTCCTTRAACCAAACTCGAGCAGAATTTTATGATAAACAAAGCAGCTTCATGCCAGCAACTGAACAGTGCCAGTGCTTTTCTGAACCTTGTAATCATTCCGAAATGGAGCACATAAAATTACTCTCCAAGCAATACTTAGGGGAAAGATATTGAAGGGGTTTCCTGCCCCATTTTCCTGTGATTTTTCAAAGAAGCCAATACATCCCTCTGAATTCACAACTGTATTGGAGGGTTACTGTCCCACCAGAAAAAGGAAACTTCTCCCCTGACTGCATGTTCCCAGTCTAGAAGGCCAATCTGCTCACCAGCTTGCTCTCTTTTTTTTTTTAATCAGCAATCAGTGTGTTTACTGTAAATCCAGATAAGCTGAAAAGAAGGTTAGGTACTGTTGCCTACCCCTGGAGTCTTCTGCAGCAGCGTATGGTGGACTGTGCCTGGTCTACCTGCTACATCAATAGGGTTCGAAGTCTGAAAGACAAGAACAGAGCRTGAATAATACTGTATCATACCAGTGGTACATTTAACAACTCTATCTGATGTTAACAGCATTAATTAGTGCATGTTTGCACTGCGCTTTGAACACGCATATTGCTACATTAGTGCTAAATGTTATCTCTTACTGACAGCCAACAGCGTTTAACCACCATGTCATTTATCATTACTGAGCAGCAGGAACAGTATTCCAGCACCCCTAAGCCCCACTGAGATCACACCCCGCTGTGCTGTGCAAGTGCATGGGAAGAGACAGTCCCTGCTCCCCAAGCTTATTCTTTAGATAAAAYAGGCAGCAGGTAGGAGAGAGAAGGACAGAGGTGGCCTGACTCCCTCCATTTTTCAGGCAGCAACCAGCACTGCAGTCAAGAACAGGCTATTTCAAGCTTCCTATTCTATTCCCATATTTCACACTCTGGACCATGGCCCCTCTCTGACTGGGGCCAGGTAACAGAATGCCTGAACCAGCAACAGCCCATCTATTTGCTTGGACAAGGCTAAACCAGAAACCTTAGAAGGTGCTTGTGGGTCTTTTATAGCTTTGCGTTGTTTACCCCATCATTTTCCAGGAAGAATTAAACACCTCATCGAATCCCTATTCCTCCTCCTCCTCTGGATCCCACCTGTTGTCCTGTCCTAGATGATCCCCAAGAACCCGTTCATCTCCTCACTCTGGCATTCATCCATCTCCCACTCCCAGAGCAACTGCACCTGGTGCTTCTGCACAGCTGAGTGCAGAGGGGTTAAACCTCATTCCCCAARAGATTGTTTCACTCATGTTTTAGGYCAAATCAYAGCAGATTTCCAACAGCACAAGGCATGAGTATAATYGTGGGTGTGGGAGGGAAGGTAGGTTTTAGTTTGTCCAAGGCTATGTGACTTCCAGACTCATTAAAAAGCCAATTCTTGTGTGTGTGTGTGTAGGTRAGTCAATGCACTCCCCAGGCAGATCAGAGCTCTCAGGGCCTCTCTTGACAGCTGAGGTAGATAYAAGGTGGCAAATAAGTTACAGCTTTCATACAGGCAAGAGCTTCAAGATCACAACATGTTAATAGCATGGTGTCATCCTGTCCCTTTGTCCCCTGGAGAAAGACGTGAATGCYTCCTCCAGCAAAGTAAAGGGAATACTTCTGACCTTTTCAAGTTCTTAGCTTGTGAGAAACCGCCTACAGGAAACTCGCTGAGAAATTTACCGTCAGCCTGGATTTATGTGCAGTGCACTCACATGCACAGCTGTAGGCAACTGCCATGGGAAGGGGAAAAACAAAACCAAGATCTCTGCTTTGGAAAGCAAGAAGTGCAGGAGTTGGAGTGCCAAACCCAAATCATCAGCTCTGCAATGTTTATGAAGGCTTTAGTCAAACAGCTTGGGAGGGAGAGAGCATGGAAGAACAATGCAGTAACCATGACTGGAGTGGCTGTGCCTAGAGTTCAGCTCTGCCTCCTCTGGGAAACTGGGAAGTGATGTGCCAAAGCAGCAGATCCATTTTTCAACCTATCCCTCTCTTTTTCAGATATTAGATTGTATGTAAATACTGCACTGTCCAGAGATCAAATGATGTCAGTGATTAACGATGGCACTGGAGTGTGACCTCGCACTGCTTAAACCCAAGCTAGCAGATGTKAGATGTATCTATCATTAAAATTAATTAAAAGCTAGTTATAACAGCACTAGGACCTGCTTAAAAATGCAAAGGGTCTGTGCTCACTTTTTTTTCCTCGCTATGTAACTGCTCCTTGGCCTAAGGGCACTTTACAGTGAGATGGGATCTGTGAAGCTCTGCAGTGAAGATGGGAAGCAGAAGAAGGTGCCATTGGTGTAGCAGCAGCTCCTCTTTAACAGGAAGGAGCCTTATGGCAAAACAGCCCTGGCTGCATGTGGGCAAAATCTGGCCACCTCCCCTTGATTTGTACAGCTCCTTTTCTTGGAAAATCAAGCTTGTACCCGGACTCYGGGCCTGTAGGAACTGCCTGGCATCCYGTGCAAGGATAATAACAATTAACARTGGCAGACAAATTCCATCAAGGGATGGTCATGTTCTCTCTCTTKCTCCTTCTGCTTCTATGAACTGCTCCTTCTCTAGGCCTRCAGCCACTRCACACAGAATTCCTGGTGAACAAGGCCATTTTACAGATTATGCTATTTGTATGTATCCCTAAAACAATGTCAAGGATTTGATGGGCACTGAGGAAATACTCTGGCTTCCATTGAAAGCATTAAGGGGAAAGTTTGTAAAAAGGCTTCAAAAAATTTGAAGCAGTTCTAACTACTGATTTCCACCAACATCAGTGAGACTGCTGAGGGAAGCACATCCCACAGATCTGCCTGGTGTGGGTACAGAAAYCACCTTCCAAATGTAAACAGGAATGGCCTGGCTACAGTGCTGGTCCTTCAAGCCTTCTTACACACTAGCAGAGTTCTATGGAAATGCAGTTCAAGGTAAGAAATCTCTAAAATCACAGCACGTAAGGAAGCTGAACATGCCACCTTACAAATGCAGTGCATGCTTCACTTTTGAACAAATGCTATATAGAGACAATCCATTATTTTTTGTTTGGAGAGATTCAACAGTTTTGGTACATTTAAAAATGATTAATAGAAAGAGCATGTCTGGGAGGGAAAAAAAAGCAGTGCACACCACAGAATTTGCCAAAAAATGGGGGTTATCATGGCAACATTTCCAAATGCCAACCAATGCTAGTTGTAAAGACATGTTACAGCTGCAGTGCACCTTTCAAACACATTATCTCAAAGAAGCTTGCAGGCATTAATTAACCCTCACAAAAACCACTGCAAGGTAACTTTATAGATGASGAAGCTGAGGAACAGAAGGTTTAAGCGACTTGCCCAAGGTCAGACAGTGTAGGAGCTGGGAATAAAAATTCAGCTCCTTCCCAATWGCTCTACCCATTTACAGCAGTCTCTCCCTACTGTTCCCACACTTGTGCAGTCAAATTCTCATTGTTTTTTCTGGGAGTAAACACAGTTTATCTTTTGCAATCTCAGACCATTAGATTTATAAAATGATTTGGGACTCATCGGTCTATTACGAGCTGCAAATATTTCAATCAAAATAATGCACTTCACTGTATGCTTCTCCTCCAGTTTCAGCAGACCTCCCAAGTGAACCACTACATCCTTTCCAAGGAAGGATCTGCMGTGCCAAGAGAAAATTTCTGCTAAAGTGTTGGCTGCTTTGTGCAGAGGATGCTCACAGTTCTGTGGGATGATCCTTTCCAACCCTGTCCTGCACTTCTGCTATYCAAATCATGTGCTGCAAAATCACCAGAGACACACTCTGAACACAGTTCCTCTCCCAGCAAAAGAACAAAGCCTTCAGAAGAAGAAGTTTGTACCTTCGGTTGAAATGCTCCCTGAAGTGACCCAAAGGGACCTGAATGTGGAAGCATGGGTGGCATTCCAGGCATTGCTGGAGGATAGGTTGGAAAGAACTACAAAAGAAAAAGAGATGCTTATGTCACAGGATGACTTGAACAATAATAATGGAGGTAGGTGCCARGCCTGGCACATACAAAAATAGTACTGTGCTGACCAAGTGCCACAGTGAAAATACACAATAAATTTGCTTTCAAAATTTTTTAAGAGCAAAGCCAAAACTTGAAAAATGCACTCATCTGATAAATTTTCTAGATAGTGCTGAACGAGTGTGCCTTTAAAAATTGTGGACTACGGCAGGAAGCACAGAGCATAATTTGGGGTTTATGTTCACTTTCCRTTAACTTTGCATTTTTCTGCTGTTGCAAACAAATCGATCCTGTTTTGAAATGTGACCTGCTTTAATTTTTAAAGCAAAAAGAACCACAAGATGCTGCATTGCACTCTAACCACAGGCAACATGCACACCACCTTGTAGTTGTGTAGGCTGGGYTGAATTTTGCTTAGGCCTCTCCTGAGCACATACAGCAGTTTTACAAGTCCCAAAACGTGTCATTTTTTTGTGCTTTGGAGCAGTGGGGAGCACCAGGAAGAAACCACCAGTCTGACTTACTCCTGTGACCTGAGCAAAACCTTGTGAAAGAGCCATGCACTCCGGGCTGCTGCACTGGGAGAAGCATCAGCTGCAAAGGTACTGCAATGACCACTGATTGAGCAATTCCTGCGCATTCCCTGCCATCCCAGGCACAGCCATACAGAGCCGCAGCAGCAAAAATGCAGGAGACAGAGAATTAAAAAAAAAAAAAAAAAAAAAAAAAAAAAAAAAAAAAAAAAAAAAAAAAAAAAAAAAAAAAAAAAGCCCAAAGGAAACGTTCTACCTTCAAAACATAAAAACCAAGACGGGGAAAAAGAGCTTTAGAAATGAATGGATCAAAACACTTCTCATCAATTGAAAACAGGCAAAAGAAGAGCAAGCAGAACCATTAACAAAGAAACCAACTAGAAAGGTGAAGCACTCACGTTGGAATGTCGAAAGTAAGGGTTGTCTAATTTGGGAGCGTACTTGTCAAACTGGAAAGAAAAGAGAAAAAAAAAGGAAACAGGTGAGTTTGGTTTTGGCAGCAGCAGACACATCAGGATTTCAACACAGACAAACAATCATGGCCCGTGTGTAAGCATTTAACAGAGCAGAACTGACTGGTTATTTCTTGCACAGTCACTCAACAGGGACAGACTGACTTCCCCAGGCTCACAGAGWGGAGCCCCCAGGCCACGCTGGCACTGCCACAGCTCACTGCAGAGCCCTGAACCAGGCACTGCATGGCCAGGCCCCTGCTCTGGGAACAGAGCAGCCCTGACACTGTAGGGCAGAGAAACACAGGGACCTTCAGCTCCAGCTCCAGATCTGCCCCTGGACTGCTGAGCTAGACCACAGACTAGCAGGTAAGAAACATTTTCCATGACACCCCAGCATCTACTGTGGGGCAGCAAATACCGATTCCCGTTTTTTTGGGTACCTGTAAGCACCAAAATTCTTTGGGAAAGGGCTGAATCTCTTTAGATACACAAATCTCGAAATATTCCCCCTTCTCTGCAAAAGAGTATCCCAGAGAAAAGGTRATGGTAAACCTTTTCCATTCCAGCATGGGGTTTTAACACCTCCATGTGTGCAGTCTGTGCCCCGTTTGCCCTGTACCATCTTGGAAACAAACCCAAAGCACACACACATTGCATTTCTGAACAATATGTACATTCTGCTGGGGAGGAGGGAGYGGGGAAGAAGGCAGGGAAGGGAACTGTAGGACCCCATGAAAAGCTGCTTATTTGGCAAGTCAGCTGCTGTTTCACACTCCTCTGTGTGCAGGAGAGCAGATTTGTAATTTCATTAATTACAGTTATTACTGGAGCCATGTCCCCTCCAGTGTAAATACCATAAATTACCAAACACATGCAGCTGTAATTTCAACACTCTTCTCTGGTGTTGGGATTAGCAGACCTGATCTAGTGGAATATAAGAAGATGTGAGTGAAATATAACAAAAGAGCCTTGCAAGTTGTTTTCGGTCTGAAGGCTGACATCAGCGGGCATGGGTGGGTGGGGAGGGAGCTGTTCACAGGCTCGGGTAACACAGTTCTTAAATAACACAGGAGACTTCTGAGAAAAGGTTCAGGATTGTTTTACACAGACCAGGGAAAGAAGGGAAGGTGTTTACACACAAGTACATTGAGCAAACACCTGRGGCTGGATTTTGGGTGGATAATATTGCTTTTAATTGTCTTGCTGCTAAGCAGATTATAACACAAGAATGTCATTGGGCAGGCAGCAGTGGGAAAGAGAAGTGGGAAACACCGCTCCTTGAATCCTTGGTTCTTCCCAAATGCTGCTTTTGCTAGCCTTAAGGAGGGCTGTTTCTGCATTTTGGACACAGTGTGAAACTGCGAGGGGGAAAAAAGCTCAATCTTGTGCTTTCAATCTCACAAAGTAATTGCCAGAAATGGGGAGAGAGTGCGTTTTAAAGTACTGACAAAATCCATTTGTAGCAGATCCCTAACAATTTTGTAACAGCTGCAGCAAAGTCCCATTGTGTTACAAGCAAATTCAATGACAAAATGCTTATTACACGGCCAGGAGGATCTCTCCCAGCAGAACCAGCCACACACAAATTAGTGCTTGTTGATGTAATCAAGTAATAAAATGCCTAAATCAATACAGGTCGGCTATTCAGAGGAAGAGGGACACAACTGGTGTCAGATGAGATGCTGCACTGTGGTGAGAGCTCTGGCTAAGCCAGCACAGTCTGCCCTGCACCCAGCAGTTGTGTGGGCTGTGTTTGGGGCTGGAAGCCACCCATACTGTGGCATCCTGGTTGTTGTCTTTTGTTGTGTCAAGGCAGCTGGCACTGGGAAAGGTGGAGTAGAAAAACACAGCGGGACACACGAAAAGGAAACAAAAGGAATTCTGGACTTGTCTCCTGGGTGCTCTGTCTGCTCATGGGTAACAGCACGGGGAACCAAGAGGCTTGGTGTGGGGGCTCTGGCTGGAAAGGGGGTCCCTCTGGGAGTGCTGGCCTCCAGGCTGGAAGGGCAGGGACAGCCTGGCTGAAATGAAGAGGGCTGGGTTTTGTTTGACAAGAGTGGGTTAGGCTTTTTGACCAGAGATGCTCTACTTATCCTCACATTTTGGGCTGGGGTACGCACCATGGGAGGTGCAGAGGGCGGCATGAGCGGCGTCTGGGGCAAGCTGGATGGAAAAGGAGTGAATGTGTGCTGGTGGGTGTGTTGGTGCTGATGCGTGTGTTGGTGCTGGTGAAACTCCGCTCTCAGCAGCGGCACCGGGCCAAGTGAGGCAGCGGCCCGGTCCGAACTCTGAACCAAAAACCGGTTGTTCAGCTCTTGCCTGAGCAGTTCGTGATCTAGAGGAGAGAGAGAGAGAAAAAAAAAAGACACAGAGGCCCGTGGGCCTGTGAGTACCACAAAGACGGAGGAGAAAGAGTCAATATTCACCTGGCATTCCCTGTTTCTGCAGGTCATGCTGTGGTGGTTTTCTACGTGAGGACTCATTGGTGGAGGTAAGAGAGATGCCTGTGACAAAGTACCAATCAGAATCCCCGAATGAGGCTGGCAATACATGATTGGTTGGTTGAATGATATCAACAGGCTGGTATCTAAAGGCAAGAGAGAACACCATGAGTCATCACAGCAGAAAACATCATGGGGCGCGCACCGCGCCCGGCCCGCCCGCGGACACCGCCCCCGCCCGCCTGTCCTCCCGGCAC